AATTGGGGGATAGGAACAGCACTGGGGAATTGGGGGATGGGGAACAGACAAGTTGCTGTCCTTTTTGTTCTTCAGTCTCGTTGTGGAGGACGTTGCTTCACTGGCCCAAGTTGGCACCATCATTGCGCTCTTCCTGGTCTGCCTCGATCAGTCGCTGGCTTCTGGACGGCTGCTCATGAAGGCTGCTGGCCACTCACGCTGGCTGCTGGCTACACACGGTAGCCCATGAACCCACTGCCCAGCGACTCAGGGCAGCCCATCTCCAGGTTGAGCTGTTGTTCAGCATCTTAGCTGTAGAGGGCAGTGTCACTGGCCCTCATATGTGTGATCCAAACCGGGGCCCTCTGGCGTCCCAAGCTAGCTCTCAACCAATGTGCCACTCTGCTGGCCCCAATTGCCCATCTTTAATTTCATTAGCACTGGATCTTTTCTGACCCAATCCAAATTAACCCTGGATTATACCCTGGATCAGACCTCTGAGCCACCCTTGAATTACCTCGTCTCCCCCACCATCACCTCAAGGCACCTCATGTTCAACAGGTGCAAACTTAAATTTTTTTTTAAGTATTTCTGAATGCTTTGCTTCTCTGAATTTGAGATGGTTTAACATAATTCATGTAATATAGAAAAACATAAAAATGAACTGAAAAATCAGGATAAAGGAAAAAAAAACAAGTCAGAATAAAAGGAAAGACCAGGCGTAAGAACACAGACAGGCAAGCCTTAATGTCTTGCACAATTACTACAATTGAGCCACAAATTTGGCTCTGAGCTTCCTGGTTGCCAAAATTAAAAGAAAAATACATGTGTGTTTTTATCACTGTCTGTAAGAAGAAAGAAACATACCATTTTTTGGAGATTGTTAGCTTTTTTCTGGTTGCAGCTCTCAAAAGAGATTTCAAAAGCTTTATATAATGATTTTGAATAATCAGTATCCTCTTATTATCTTTTTATTAAAAAAGACACGTTTATTCAGCATCATGATCCAACTATTACATTTAGCAATAAACAGCATGGGTGCAAACAAAAAAATCTACATTAAAACCCTCTGTTGGGGGCCGGCTGAGTGGCTCAGTTGGTTAAGAGCTCGCTCAAGAGTTTGAGCTCTGAGCAACAGTGGTTCGAGTCAGCCCGAGCTGAGCAGCCGTGAGCTGCCAACAGGTGGCGGGATGGCTCAGCTAAAAAAAAAAAAAAAAAAAACCCAAAACCCTCTGTTGGAAGGCTTTACACTTTCCACAGAACAGAAACGAAAATAAACTGTTACACAATTAGTCACAAATAAAGTTCGAGTTTTTTGCCCATACAATGAGTATTGTCTAAAACATGTCTCCTTTGTAGTAGCTAGGCCCTGCCACCACTGTTTGGGCTGAGTCCACAAATCTGTTGTAACCTGTAGCTTCCCTGTCACTTCTCTGGCTCTCCTCTCCTGCTAAGCTTTGTTTCCTAGAAGTAATTAAAACCTTCTGCCACTTCCATAGCTACTGTTGCTGCTAGAACCACCATAGCCACTTTGGTTTCGTGGTTTGGCAAAGTATTGGCCTCCACCACTATAATGGCCAGAACTTCTGCCTCCAATGTTTCCTCCTCTCATGGGTCCAAAATTTAAAGATTGATTGTTGTAATTGCCAAAATCGTTGTAGCTTCCCCCTCCTCCAAAATCGCTTCTATCATTACCAAATCCATTATAGTCATCCCCACTGCCACCATATCCTCCACTATCACAACTGCCACCAAAGCCACCTCGACCACTGAAGTTTCCTCCATAACCAAAGTTGTCTTTCCCACCAAAACCACCTCCTCAAACACCACTGAAGATTCTAGAACCCTCTTTGACCAGATGAAACACTAGCCATCTCTTGCATAGATAGGGCTTTCCTTACTTCACAGTTGTGGCAATTCACAAGATGGTTTTTCAGAATGACAATCTTGTCTACAGAGTCGTGGTCATCAAAGGTCAGAAAAGCAAAGCCTCTCTTCTTCCCACTGCCTCAGTCAGTCATGATGTCAGTCACTTCAGTTTTCCCACACTGTTCAAAATCATCTCTTAGGTGATGATCTTCAGTGTCTTCTTTAATAACACCCACAAAAATCTTATCCACAGTGAAGTGGGCACCAGGTCGTTGAGAATCTTCTCTTGAGACAGCCCTCTTTGGTCCCACAACTCTTCATCCACCTTGTAGGGCCTTGCCTTCCTGACTGCATCTACCTCCTCCACAGTGGTATAGGTGACAAACCCAATGCCTCTGGAGCATGTGTGGTGTTTGGGCCTCTCATCACACACAATCTGTGAGTGTTCCCCATTGCTCAGAATGCCTCCTCAGACTCTCACTGGTTGTTTCAAAGCTCAAAACTCCAATGAAGAGCTTCCGCAGCTGTTCAGGCTCTTTGGGAGATTCTGACTTAGACATGTCGACCGTGGGAGAGGTGACTTTAACAATGCTTACTCGGCGACGTCCACCAACAGAAAAGCTAGTTATCTTTTGTTGGGTAACAAATTACCCCAAACTTAGCAGCTTAAAACAAAACAAAAAAACCTTATTTACAAAAGTTTCTGGGGGTCATAAATTTAAGTGCCATTTACCTGGGTCCTCTGCCTCAGAGTCTCTCGAAAAGCCACAGTCAAGTAGTTGGCCATGCTGCAGGCATTTCAAGGCTGGGGAGCCCTCCTTTAAGCTCACTCACATGCTTTTTCTTCTGGCCAAGCTTGGCTATGTATTAAAGCTTTTTTTCTTAGAATTTTTTCTCTGGTAGTTCTATATTTGTATTTCTGTAGTTTTTGTGTTGGCTTAATCCACCATGCCAGAAACAAATTTCCAAAAATATTTCTATAAGCTTGTTCATTACCCCAGGCTTGCTTTTTGGGTTAGAATGCTGCTGTATTCTACATTTTCTGCAAAAATTTTGGAAAAGGTCACAGAAAGATACAGCAGATTCCTTGAGGTGTGGCAGTTGCTGGCCAGAAATCTTTTTCTAGCAGTGCCTGTGAAAGCCCAGGCCTCCCAGGGCCCTTCAGAAAAACACCGCCCAAAGTAAAAGTCCTATGGAAAGAGGATGGGTGTCTCATTTTCTTATATTATTTCATTATTGTCAGTCCAGAGGAAATGCTCATTTTTAAATACTGGATGAGGAGTGGACCAGTAAACATCTTATGTATGCAGATGACCTGATGACTCACCAGGTGAAGAGGCAGTCCACTGAGCGTATGTCTGTCTACATGGTAGGCACTGTGTCGGCCTCTTGATATGTTATATTTAAACTTCATAAGATCTGTACAAGGCAGATATCATTTCCCCCAGTTTTCATGGGAGAAAAGTAAGTCTCAGACGGTTAAGTAACTTGCCCAGTTACCACAAAAGACAGAGCTTTCATTAGTACCCAGGCCTGTCTGATTCAAGTGCCTCCTCTTTCCACTGCGTGTGGCTTCTCTCTGAGAAAACACCTCTCAATTTGACATGGATATTCTTTGTTACCAGAATGTAATGAATGGATTATTCACCAACGCTGCCCCACCCCCCACCTCCCCACCCCATTCTACTCTGTCAGAGCAATTGAGTTCTGGGTCTTTCCTTGTTTCTGCCTCAAGGTGAAAACAGCTATTTCCCTGTGGTCTTCAGTAGGCTGGACCCAGGATAAAATCCTGAAGTCTGCTGAGATTCCATCTGCATGCTGCCATCTCAGACATTATGCCAGGGCAGCCTGAGCCCCTGTGATGTGTCTCCATTCAGGACCTTTCCTCCCAAGATTCATGAACCCCAGCATGGGCACCCTGACCACCAGCTCAAGCTTGGTCCTAGAGCTCCAGTAGGGACCCTGAAGCCCATGACTTCCCCCACCAGGCCTCAAATCCCTGTTATCCTGTTTTAAGTTTTTTACCTGTGTTAACTCATTTAATCCTGACAACTTTTGATGTAGGGACTACTATTTTCTATGTTTTATAGATAAGGAAACTGAGGCTCAGAGAGGCTAAGTAACCTGCCTAAAATCACATAGCTACTAAGTTGCAGACTATGATTCACGCTCCAGCAGCGTGGCTCCTAGATCCATGCTCTTAATTCCTGTGCCATGAGCTAATATGCACAGAGTTTGGATTTCTCTGTCCCCACCCCCCTACCCTCCATTTCCCCCTACACCCTACAGCATTTACCACCATATAACATAATATGTATTATACTTTTTTTAAAGTCTCTTTTATGTCTGTCTCTCCCACTAGAATATAAGCCTAGGGCAGAGAGCTTTGTCTGTTTTGTTAACTACTGTACCAGCATCTAGAACAGGACCTGACCAGAGTTGGTACCCAGTAAGTACAGTCTAAATGAGCACTGAAAAAGTTAGTATCTTTTAGTATCTAGTATCTATAGCTATTAGAATCTATAGCTGTTAGTATCAAGTTATTTGTATCTTTGCATAAACAATAGGGCCACAGCAAATATCTTTTCCCAAATAAAAGAGAAGTCCTCTCCACAGAGATTACTTTTTTCACCATCCCAGAACAAAAGGCAGAAACTCAGAAAGGTTTTACAATAGTGTTTGTCCTCTCTGCCTTC